CTCAGTTGTCAAAATAATCAGTAGATTACTTGATTACCAAAATAATCATTAGTTACAGCCCTAGATTAGTTAAAATATTTCTAAATACAACTGCATTGTTTTACTTTTTGTAATTAAAAGACAAATATTTTGTCATTGAAAATTTCTTAAAAATAGTATTAAAATATTGTCACGTTCTAGTGAACCAAGTATATGTATTTTGTCTCATCTCGTGAGCTAAGTATATTGTCACACCCCTAGTGTCGATAAGCGGTGATATAGCTCATTTTCAAAGTCATACAGCTTTCATTCTTCAGGTCAACCATATATTCATGAAAAAAAAAGATCAGTTTGAATAAAGAAAGCAATAACTTTGCCATAGTATCTTTTCAAATGTTAAAGTTGCCACAGTCATTGCATGCTTTGCATGTGCTGCCCCACCCCCGGAAAAAAGTTCAGGCTCAGGATTTTTTTTTGCTTTAACCCCTGGGTGAGGCTTTTATGAAGTCAAAATGAACACATGCATTTTTCAAACAGCAAAACAAAAAACATTGCTCAACTAATTTAAACATTATCTTGGAACGCACTTTAGCGAGACATCATCTAAATGAATGTGATTATGCTCTCCCTATCAATTTTAGATACAAGCCTGAAGGATGGTCTTTTCCATGAATTTAAGAAACATGGCAAAGTCACATCAGTTCAAATCCATGGTGCCTCTGAGGAACGATATGGATTAGTGTTCTTTCGCCAGCAAGAGGACCAAGAAAAAGCTCTAAGTGCATCTAAAGGGAAGCTGTTTTTTGGCATGCAAATTGATGTCACTGCTTGGCATGGCCCAGGTAGGTTCCTCGCATTTTGTACAGAATCCTTTGTTGTTATTAGATTTTGAAGCAGCATTTGACCCAACATTGTTCTCTAATCTATTGCTCAATAGAAACAGAGAGTGAGAATGAGTTCCGACCTTTGGATGAACGTATAGATGAGTTTCACCCCAAAGCTACAAGGACTTTATTCATAGGAAATTTGGAGAAAACCACAACTTATCATGACCTGCTTAACATATTTCAGCGTTTTGGAGAGATTGTTGTAAGTAGATATTTGAAAGTGTGCTTTAAAAATCATGCAAGTTTACAAAACAGTCACTGTATTAACGCTGCATATTTATGTACATATTCTGTTTTTACCAGGATATCGATATAAAAAAGGTAAATGGTTCCCCACAATATGCCTTTCTCCAGTATTGTGACATAGCAAGTGTCTGCAAAGCAATTAAGAAAATGGATGGTGAATACCTTGGCAACAACAGGTTAAAGGTGAGGATGAGATCAGATTATTATTATTGGAGTTTTTTTGTTACATATAGCTAACAGCCAATCCTCATTTAATACAAACATAAAAAAAAAAAAAAAGAGTATTTACAATTATTTAAAAAAAAATTTTTACTCATTGGAATTAAAAACCTATAGATTACACAGGACATTGGTTGGCTTAATGTGAATTTTTCTTTCCTTCAGCTTGGTTTTGGCAAAAGTATGCCTACAACATGTGTATGGTTGGACGGCTTGTCCTCCAGTATTACCGAACAGTATCTCACAAGGCATTTTTGTCGTTATGGACATGTTGTAAAGGTGATTTCAAATTTCTTTATGATTTCAAATTTCATTATTAAAATGTATTTATTATTGTTCTGTTCTCTTTCTTCATTAGAATAAATGCATTGCATTTTGAAGTTCACTTGATTTCTCTATATAAAAAAAAAATGTTTATTTATTTAGGTTGTGTTCGACCGACTAAAAGGAATGGCCCTCATCTTGTATAATAATATAGAGTATGCACAGGCCGCTGTCAAGGAAACAAAGGGTTGGAAAATTGGAGGAAATAAAATAAAGGTCTGTAATATAATATGAATTGTCCCACTGACAAACCAACTGTTTGTTTGTCTAACACTGTTAATTAAATTTGTTTGTAGGTTGACTTTGCCAACCAGGAAAGCCAGATGGCTTTTTACCGTTCAATGCAGGCATCTGGACAAGACATAAGAGATTTCTATGAAATCATAAATGAACGAAGGTGAGATGTTGTATGATAACACCTCTTTTATTTTGTAGAATCATCCTTTCATTTTCATTAATTTTGTTTTTGTTTTTTTGCAGAGATGAGCGCCGACCGCCATATCATGAGTTCACAGCTGAACGGGCATACTATGAGAATGTGCATTCCCCAGGTTCCTACACAGAGGATCCACGTCGGAAATATCCTGCCAGAAGTCGAGAGTTTTATTCAGAATGGGATCCTTATCAAGGAGATTATTATGACCCACAATACTATGATGACCCCCGTGAATACAGGGATTATAGAGACCCATATGAGCAGGATATTCGGAAGTACAGCTACTTACAAAGAGAGCGTGAAAGGGAAAGAGAGCGATTTGAAACGGATCGTGAACGAGACCACGGTCGACGAACAATTGAACACAATCAAAGCCCATCCCATCCACGTCGTCCTGCTAGTCCTGCTGCCTCCCCATCCCTTTCCGAACATCCTCCCAGTGACTCTGAACATCATGTTTACAGCCGCTCATCTGAGCGAAGTGGCAGCTGCAGCTCACTTTCTCCACCACGACTTGAAAAGCCAGATAAAATTTGTTTGGAGAGGCACAATAGGAGTGATAAATCAGAGAAAGACAAATCAATTTTTGAGGCAGAGCGTGGAAATGGAGGAGAAAAAGACCGACATGCTGGACGTAAGGAAAAAGGTGACAAGGACAGGACTGAGAAGCAAAAGCTGAGGAAATTGAAACTTGCATCCCCTACTGTTCCATCATCAGAGCCAGGCATTGAACTTGACAGGGACACCAGCCCAGACGCTATCTTAACTCTGCAAGGTAAATCCAGCAAATCATTAAACAAAGACTACTCTGGAAAAGGAAAACTTGATCTGCCACCTTGTGTTGTCCAGCTGACAAGAGTAAAGGAGAAGGAAGGGAAGTTAATAGACAGTATCCTCAGTGAGAAACAAAAAACAAAGGTTGGGAGTGACCCTGTTCGGTCTCCAACCACCCCACCCTCTGCTGATCACAAAAGTATGCCTTTCCGCATAGAGACTCAGGCTAGAGATTTCTTTAAGCATGGAAAACATCTCAAGGAGAAAGGCTTGGCTAGTCAAGTTGAGGTTGTGGATAAAGACGGAAAAGTGAAAAACAAAAAATACTTCAAAACTGATTTTGCATTTGACACTAGCTCTTCTGTGGATGCCGACCGCTTGGCTGCACGGAAGAGGCGCTTTGAAGAAACTTCTGGAAAGGCTGACAATTTAAGGAAGATAAGTCAGGAGGAGGATGAAGTGAAGTTAAGGAGAATTATTGATGAATCATTGCTGAAAGACATTGATTATGATAAAAAGATGCAACAAAAAGAAGCGTATAAAAGAGAAAAAATGAAGCTAGAGAGGATGATTACTGTTAGTACTACAAAAGAAGAGCTAGACACTGTAATGTCAGTAGGCCTCAGTCTAGACCTTCAGGCTCGACTTGGGGAACCAACTGAGGAGGCAACAGATCCCTTAGATAGCCTTGATCAAAAGACCAGTACTGTTGGAGCTCAAAGTCAACCAAGTTTCAGTCTTGCAGTCTCTGATGATGGAAGTATAGATATGGAATTTTCAAGAGACCAAGAACAGCAGCACTTAACTAGCTACCACATACTCTCCTCAAGGCTAGAAAGAGATTCTGAAAGTAAAGAAAGTTTGCTCTCAGACATTGATCACTCGCAGAGTTGCAGAAAACAAATGGAGCAGAACCGTCTCCTACATCAGCAATTGTTAGAGTATGATAAATCTGATAAAACTGAAAGCACACCCAGCACTGATGCAGAGGACTTTGAGCATCGAAGTCTTGTGCATGAGATAGGAAAACCACCTCAAGATGTAACTGGCGATTCACCACCCAGCAAGCGAAAGAAGTCAGGACCATTTGAATTTGATTTTGGCACTAAAAGACAGAGAGATTATCAGAGGTTCAGACAGATAAATGATGAACCTGAAAGGAGACTTGCTTCACTTCCAGGGACACCCTTTGCTGAGGATGCATCACAATTGCTGGAAAAAGAGCCAGATTCACCTGTGGAAATGAATAAAAATTGCTTGCATTTTGATGTATCAAAATACAATATTGGCAACGCAGTGCGCCAAGGGCTTTCATCGCATGCAGAGATTTTGAAAGTGAAAACATCAGTCACAGAAGAGGAGTTCTGTTGGGAGAGCAATATTAGGCAGAGCACATTGAGAGGAGAAATGAGCTTCCCCACTAGCATTGTTAAACGGGAAAGTATCCGAAAACGTCCAGAACGTGAATTAGAACCCGGGGAGGTTCAGACAGACTCTGATGAAGATAGTGAAAGCAGACACCTTTCACTAAAGCCAAACTTTTTCAAAAGAGAGCATGAAGAGAGGCTTTCAGTTGTGAAGTCTTCTGAGTCACTTGAAAAGAACAAGTTCTATGAATTTGCATTGGATAAGACCATAACACCAGACACCAAAGCTTTGCTTGAGCGTGCTAAGTCACTGTCCTCATCTAGGGAAGAAAATTGGTCTTTCCTTGGTCATGACTCACAATTCAAAAGCTTTCGGAATAGCACAGACAAAGAGAAGTCTGAACCCACTCCAAGGCCAATTCCTTCTTGGTACATGAAAAAAAAGAAAATTCGCTCTGATTCTGATGGAAAGCTTGATGGTAAAAAGAAGGATGCCAAGCCTGATGAACAAGAACGACAAGAGCTCTTTGCTTCACGCTTCCTTCATAGCTCTATCTTTGAACAGGACTCAAGGCGACTTCAGCACCTTGAGTGGAAAAATAATGACCCTGAAGTTAGAGTTGGTAGAGATAGTATTACAAGTGATTCCCAAGGGGAACAAGTTGGAACAGGAGGATCAGACCTCTCTCAAGAACCAAGAGTACTTTTTCATAGTCGTTTCTTAGAACTTCAGCAAAGAGATAAGAACCAACAGCTGCCAGTTTCGGAAAGATTTAGTCTAACTGAGGAGGAGGAGGAGGAGGAGGAGGAAAAGACATTGGATGAAGAGTTTGGGCCTTCCCCCAATGTATCAGAAATTTCCCAAGAGTTAACAGTTAGTCATATTCCAGCTACAGCATCACCAATGTCTCGGTCTAAAGTTTCAGAAACTTCTGTGCAGCATGACAAGGCAGTTTTGCCCTCTACATTAACAAACAAAGATGGTCCAGAAATAGTGAATAAGCAGTCAGAAGATGCTCCAGTAGATTCTCTGCCATCAATTAGCCTAAAGGAGGAGAACACAGCTGTTACAGTGAGTGCTATGCCCACTGAACCCATGATAAAAGAAGATGTAACTGTCAAAGAACTTAATGAAAAGCTGAGCGAGTCCATAAGAGCTGTAAACCCACCTGTTGAACTGGATATTGATGTCAAACCTCTTACTCCTGCTGCATCTCCAAGTAATATTGAGCCAGAATGTGATCCTTTTCAGGCATCTTCTGCAACATTTTCAAAGCCCAGTCAACCTCAAGAGATCGCAGAGCTTTCAGAAACAAAAACAGAACCTGTTTATGCTTCTCTTCACAAGGTTGCATCCCCACTGGATGTGGAGCTGCCAGAAACAGAACCTGAGGTTGAACAGGTACAGCCACTACATAAACAACCCAAGAGTAAAAAGGTAAAAACTGTCTCACCAACACCAATCCCTCAGGTTGCTAATGAGAAACCAGCTACACGAAAGAGTGAACGCATTGATAAAGAAAAGCTGAAAAGATCCTCATCTCCCAGAGGAGACTCTACAAAACTTATTGCTGACCCCAAAAACTCGGCAAAATCTCCAGTTCATGCAACAGATTCAGATCAGGGCCTTGAATCAAACACAAGCCATGGCAAAACACGGCAGAGACGGAATGTGCGATCTGTCTATGCAACACCCCATGAGGATGAGGCTTCTCAACAACCAGGAAAAGAAATTACAGAACCTCCTCGTTCAACCCGTAAGCGCTGTAGCGATAAGGAGGCTGCAACACAACATATGGTAACCACACCTGGCAAGAGAGGTCGTCCACCCAAGACTCGCAAAAGAGGTGATGATATGTCTCCAGTTAAAGGAGATCAGACAAAAAATTCTGAGAGTGAAGATACTGAAAGTAAGGAGTCAACAAGTAGTGGAGAAATATCTAAAACAGCAGAGACTTGGCGCTCTCCGCGATCCCAAAAGGGGCAGTCTTCACCAATAAGAGCAGGGCAAATTAGAAAAACATTGAAATTGGACAAAGTTTCAAGTAGCCCAGAACCCATTCAGCCAGACACAGCAGCGGTTGATGTGTCACCTGCCCTAGATCACCAGAATGAATCCAAAGATGAAACTTCAATGCAAGTTGGACAATTGTCACAAGATACCAAACAACATAACATATCTAAAAGAGAAAAGGGACTTGCACATCCTGCTGAAGAAAAATCAACAGATAACAATATAGAAATCACTTCTGTAGAAAAAACACCGGCATTAGATCAGAAGAAAGTCGAGGCATCAAGGTCAACCCGGAACACCAAATTGATACCTGATGATAAGTCTGTCAATGTTGGTAATCTCACTGTGGATACAGTTAAGGATGCCCTTCATTCAGGTGATAACAAAGTTGTAAGTTTGGAAGGGTCTTTGAAAACCAAAACCACACAGATAGTAAACGAAGACTCAAACATCCCAATTTACCACAAAGAGGAAGATGTTCACAGTCCTGAGGAAAAGGAGGAGACTCTTTCAGAAATGGAGCCTCCTACTGATCCTGTGGCTGCCTTGCTTGCCCGTCAAATGGAACTGGAAAGGGCAGTGGAGAATATTTCAAGACTTACAGATGAACAGCATCCAGCACCTTACAAAGAGCCTCGTGCTGAACCAGCTACCCTAACATCACCAGTTATAGTACAACGTGCAGATGATGCAGAAGTAGAAAAGCCTGCCAATCCAGCAAGTGAAACTGAACTGGCTGCTGCAATTGATTCCATTACTGCTGAGGATATATCAGGGGATGCAGATGGATTCTCTGCTCCAACAACATATACAGCCCTCCTTCCCACCCCAGAGACGCTTGTTTTGCCAGTATCAAGTGAGGTTATTGAACCTGAGACGGACTTAACTGTAAAGACTATTGTAAAATCTGAACAAGGTAGTGTTATGGTTCCAGATTCTAAATCGTCTCAAACAAGTAACACAGATACTTCACTCACAGAGTCTCCATTATCAGAGGCAGCCAAAAAAGGAGGAAGAGCACGACCAAAAACACCAAAGAAATCCAGAGGACGGAAGGTTTCTTTGAACAGAAAATTAGATCTCACTGATGATGCAGTGCTGGAACCTGAATCCACTATTGTCAAACTTCCAGAATCTATCCCAGAAGAGATTCAAACTGCCAACCCTAAGGCAGCAACTTCAGCAGCTGCAGCAGCTGTGGTTACAGTTGCTGCTGCATGTAAACATGAAGCTACAGCTACAGTGACTTGTGACACACCAAAAGAGGCAGAACAGCCTGCTGTTGACCAGCCTGAACCTCAAGAATCTGCCTTCCACTCTGGGAATAACAGTCCTTCTTATTTAAGGACAAAACAGCCATCTCCTGAACTAGTAGCACCTGCCTTTACTTCACCTACAACTTGCCTGAATTCACCTGCATCATCCAAGGCTCCTCTCACGCCCCCTGAGTGGAACACTAGAACAGAGGAGAAAGGAATTCCACCGAAACCACAAGTTAGTGTGGCACTGTCTACACCAGGAGTTGAGGGACCCCCAGCAAATCCCCCCATGCCCCCTGACACAAAGGCCTCTGATATTGACCCAAGCTCCAGCACACTGCGAAAGATTCTAATGGAACCGAAGTATGTGTCTGCTTCAAATAGCAATGCTGTCCCAAGTATGCAGTTCACTACCACATTAGCAGATCCACGGATGTCTGATAATAAAAATTCAGTTGAGGCTGTGCTGCCTTTAAAGACTTCTCTACCCGAAGACAGACCTAGCCCTGTAACTCAATTTGTACCCCGTACAGCACCAACCCAGCCACCTACTCTGCAACAATGTGAGTCACCACAGATCCTAAAGGAGAAACTGGCTATAACTTCCACCGCTACTTCAGTCATTAGTCGGATCCCTATGCCCTTTGATTTTGAGGACACTCCTCGCATCTCGTTAAGCAACCGTAGCCCTGGTATGTCCTTACTCAAGCAGAAGTATCGTACAGGCTTGAATGAAAATAGCAGGTATCAGGGGCTTAACCCCTCTGATGATGCCGGAAGTGTTGGGCGCCCTGTTGTCGGAAGCACACATTGTAACACAGGGTCAAGTACTGGTTTGAGGGTCAATACATCCGAAGGTGTGGTAGTTTTGAGTTATTCTGGACAAAAGACAGAGGGACCACAGCGGATCATTGCTAAAATAAGTCAAATCCCACCAGCCAGTGCCATGGATATAGAGTTTCAGCAGTCTGTAACAAAATCACAGATAAAACAAGAACCACCATCTCACCCCTCTACCCCAAAAGGATCACAGACACCTACAGGTTATGGACACGCAGGGGTAATATTAGCTGGCCAAACATTCAGTGCTCAGTCTGTTATTTCCTCAATTAATCAGGAAAGTCTTAGCTCTGAAAAATCTGAACCATCCTACCACACTGCTCTACAAGCAGGTTCTGTGAAAACCTTCCAACAATCCACAAGCCATCCTCAACTTCTGAGGTATGGTCAGTCAATTACACAGCAGCAGCATATTAAGAAAAATGGAGCAACTGAAACTGTTTCAATGAAAGCTGGGATAAAACCATCAAGTTTTTTCAATGTTAAACCAGTTTTAAGCCCACACCACCCATCTTTGGCAGGCAATCACATCCTAAGTCCAAGTACTGCACATGAAAGGGTGGTCTCACAACCCAAGCAAGATTCACATTCTTCGAGGGCATCAGGCCATTCCACGTCTCCCTTTCCAAAAGTTTGTCCTCCTACCAGCTCGGTTGTTTTGGGACCAGCTGGTCCTATATCTCAGTATGTGTCAAATAAACACCATGCTGAGCAGTCGGTGATCATGCCCCCTCATAGTGTCACCCAATCTGTGCCTATAGGTCATTTGTCCCAAGGAGATGTCAGAGCCAGTACTCCATCATTATCTGGAATAGGTTATGGAATCCGTTCAGAAAATCTATTATCACCTCGATCTGCACCTCCACAGCGCTCCATGACTCCTCAGCCTGCAGTGATCAGAGATGTTGTACTGAAGTCACATGCAAGTTCATCTGTTGATGGTCAAGTTGTTGGGACAAGCAATGATGATCTGCAGAGTCTCCCTCAAGGACTTCGTAGAGCTTCTGCACCACAGTTACAACCGGAAAGCATAGTAATGCAGCCCGAATTCAAAGGTCTGCATCACAGAGCATTGTGTCTAGATCAGTATGCCAGAGATGTGCATCTACTTGTGCACCAGCATTTGACTGACCATCCAGGCGTTGTTGAAAGTCGCCAAACTCGAACACCAGAGGCAATGCAGTCGCCTTCACACATATCTTCTACTTCTTCTAAAGTCTCCCCTGTGGTAAAGAATGCTCCACAGACTGTGAGGGATGCACCAAAAGCAATGGAGCTTAAGATGCCACCCTCCCCTCACTCTGACAATAGGATAATAGGACACCCACCTGGCTCTGTGATGGTATCTCCTCAAGGAGTTCAGTTGATTCATTCTGGAAATGCAAACTCCATGTCTGAATACTACAGAGAAATGCGTGGCTTCCATCCTCAGTATCCAAGTCATTCAGTAATTGGAATTAACTTGGCTAATCGTGGAATAGCTGCGTCACAGGTGAGAGTTTGTTTTGTGCTCTACAATCCTAATTTTTTTTTATCTTGTCTTGATTTAAGATGTACATTCTTCATCAGGTCTCACAAATTAATCATGGTCAGAGACACAATGTTCCCTCTGTCTCCTCCATTGAGTCTGTGGGAAGTTATGGAGAATCAAAACTTGACGGTTCTCACATTCGACACCCAAGCTCCATGGATTTGTCTCACATATCACGGGTTCAGGGTGAGACTGGCTCCCCCTCTTACACTTCTCCAGTGACTATAACACCCAAATTGGAGTTGCCTATCTCCGTGCAGAAGGGACCTAACCAGATGCCACCGCCATCCTCAGCCAGTTCTCAGATGCGATCAGACTTTAAACTTGACCACACAGGACTTCGGTCTGTTGATATGGTGCAGTTGTTAACGGTTTGTAAACTTTTTTTTATTATGTTTTCTATTTGTTTTTAAATTCCATCAGAAATTCAATAGAACACATTCTTTAGGTTGTAACAGAGTTTTTGGTCTTCCTTTAAGCAGAAATACCCAATTATTTGGCAAGGTCACCTGGCACTTAAGAATGACACTGCAGCAGTACAGCTGCACTTTGTGTCTGGTAACAATGTTCTGGCTCACCGGTCACTGCCGCCACCAGAAGGAGGTGCCTTTCTTCGCATTGCCCAGAGAATGCGCTTAGAGGCCTCACAACTTGAGGGAGTTGCAAGACGTATGACTGTAAGCATCCTGTCTACTTTTATAGCCCTTTCTCAAACCACGTTAAATCTAATTTATCCATATCTATCAAAACTAAGCAAAACAAAATCTACTGAAATGTCAGGACAGTATTGGGAATTTAAAGGAAACTTTTTTTCCTAGGCTGAAAATGAATACTGCCTTCTGTTGGCATTGCCTTGTGGACTGGACCAAGAGGATGTCCACAACCAGACCCATGCTCTTAAAACTGGTTTCATCACTTACCTGCAAGCAAAACAAGCTGCTGGAATTATCAATGTCCCAAACCCAGGCTCAAATCAGGTTAGTCCTCTCAAGAATGAAAATTACAGTGACAGTTATAATCATGTGCAGTACAGACTTTTCCTGGAAGAAAATAGCTTGGCAAGATGCTGATGTCTAACCACTCATTAAAGATTAGATGCTTCCATATGTGAAAATAAATATTTTAGCCATCTGCTGACTTAAAATTGTACATTCCACTAACAAATAATTTTCTTCCTTGTAGCCAGCCTATGTTGTCCAGATTTTCCCTCCTTGCGAGTTTTCTGAAAGCCACTTGTCTCATCTTGCTCCAGACCTTCTCAATAGCATCTCCAATATCTCTCCCCATCTTATGATTGTTATAGCTTCTGTATAAGAGGGAGATCCCAGCTTCCCACACCAACATGCCAACACCAGCCTTTGAGACTTAACATTTTTTGTTTGTTTTTGTACTCTGGAAAGCACCTCAATGTTAGTCAAGTTTACTCCTTTTTGGCAATGTATTCACTCTTTTTTTGTTCTTTCACCAGCCTTTTAATCCATTGACTCATTGCCGCGTCCGTTTAACTGTATATCACCTTATAGTACACCGAGATAAATGGAGCTATTTACAACGATCAATTCTCTGATCATTTTTTTTCTCTTTTCTTTTTCTTCTTTTGGAGATTTGTATCTATGGTTTTTAAAACACTGAAGATCTTTGGGATTATTAGGACATGTGGTTAAGAAACGTTTTATTGCTTAAGATTCCTTTTCTGAAGAATAATCAGACCAATCATTGCACTGTGTTATGAAAATCAAAAAAAATGAAAAACAAGTTTGTACAAATTTGGTTATTGAAATTGTCATTTTACTTTATTACTTGGACATGCTTCATTCACCAGCCGTTTTTGTGGTAGAGACTAAAAATGTTGTCTAGTCAAAGTAGTTCAATTGAATTCCTTTGACACATTTTATAAAAACAAAAAATAATAAATAATGTAATCTAAAGCAGCTACTGTTCAATCATTAGTAAACAAGTTACTTCCATGTTATTTGTAGAAATGGCTCTCAATATAGTCCTTGTTATCTCCGAAAGGGATAAAATGTGGGAGCATTGGGAGTTGTACAGTTTACACTTGATGCCTCAATTGGGGATTGTATGAATACTTTTTTCGCTTTCCTCTTAATACTTGCAAAGTGAATCGGGCGAAGGCCTGGTTGTAAATATAATGTATATTTAAAGACTTTCAAAGCAGTTGACAAGCATAACAAGATTGACAGCCTCTTGCCGTCAACCGTGAAATTGAACTGTCAGTTACCACTTGAGTATCATTTCAGATTTTTATTTTGTTGACGTTTTTGAAATCCATCCTGTGCCATAATTTTTAAATGGAGAAAACTAAATGAATTGAGATTCATCAAGTTTTATTTTGATACTTGACTTTGTATTTGTCACTTGATCTTTAAGGCCTGCTTTTACATTGCCTTGTTTTATGCTTTTTGTCCCCTACCTCTATTTCTATTTTTTTTATTTTCATGTCAGTAACTATTAGGGGGAATCTTAACTGATGACACTGTCCTTAGGACCCCCGAAGTGTTAAATTCTGTTTTCCACTGTTTCTTTCTTGGTTTTTTGAACATACCTCTGAATGTCCAACAAGAACAGTGCAATGCAAGTGGTAAATATACTTTGTAAAGAGGAAAAAAACAACAATGAAAATATGTAAAAATCTGTCAGGAGACATGATAGAGACCGGCTTTTTTGGTCTCCTTTCTTGATTGGTGTCTCCTTGAGCCAAGCTGTAAATAATCATTTTCATTTTGTGTTGCTTTTTTTTTTCTCTGTCTTTTGGTCAGGGTCATTATTTTGTTTTGTAAGACAAAACAAAAGTATGTAAAGAAAACCGATGCAGAAAGTAAACCATGAGTCTTAGTTTTGCAGTTTCATTGGGTTACTACAAATTCTCTCATGGTCATTTTGAAGGCACTTACATTTTTGATATACAAATTTAAAATATCAAAATGCCAAAAGGAAGAGTAAACGGATACAGCTGATCTTAAAATTTTGTCTGATTTATCTTATTTCATCATTTTGAGTGTATTTTGCGGTTCCTCTATGAGGACATTTAAAGATGTAAAATAAATTTTGTTTAACACCTTTGCAGATCATTAAATGGTCATTCAACTTTTTTTTTTTGGCTCCCAAGTATGCAGTTCACAACCACATTAGCAGATGCACGGATATCTGATAATGAAAATTCAGTTGAGGCTGTGCTTCCTTTAAAGACCTCTCTACTTGAAGACAGACCTAGCCCTATTACTCAACTTGTTCCACGTACAGCACCACCACAGCCGCCACCTCTGCAACAATGTGAGTCACCACAGATCCTAAAGGAGAAACTGGCTATAACTTCCACCGCTACTTCAGTCATTAGTCGGATCCCTATGCATTTTGATTTTGAGGACACTCCTCGTATCTCATTAAGCAACCGTAGCTCTGGAATGTCCTTACCCAAGCAGAAGTATCGTACAAGCTTGAATGATAATAGCAGGTATGGACTTAACTCCTCTGATGATTGTGGAAGTGTTGGGCGCCCTGTTATTGAAAGCACACATTGTAACACAGGGTCAAGTACTGGTTTGAGGGTCAATACATCCGAAGGTGTGGTAGTTTTGAGTTATTCTGGACAAAAGACAGAGGGACCACAGCGGATAATTGCTAAAATAAGTCAAATCCCACCAGCCAGTGCAGTGGATATAGAGTTTCAGCAGTCTGTAACAAAATCACAGATAAAACAAGAACCACCAACTCACCCCTCTACTCCAAAAGGATCACAGACACCCACAGGTTATGGACATCCAGGGGTAGTATTAGCGGGCCAAACATTCAGTGCTCAGCCTGTTATTTCCTCAATTAATCAGGAAAGTCCTAGTTTTGAAAAATCCGAACCATCCTACCACACTGGCCAACAAGGAGGTTCTGTGAAAACCTTCCAACAATCCACAAGCCATCCTCAACTTCTGAGGTACGGTCAGTCAATTATGCAGCAGCATCATATTAAGAAAAATGGAGCAACTGAAAGCGTTTCAATTAAAGCTGATATAAAACCATCACATACCTTCAATATTAAACCAGTTTTAAGCCCACGCCACCCATCTTTGGCAGGCAATCACATTTTAACTCCTAGTGCTCCACATGAAAGAGTGGTCTCACAACCCAAGCAAGATTCACATTCTCCAAGGGCGTCAGGCCATTCTACGTCCCCCTTTCCAAAAGTTTGCCCTCCTACCAGCTCAGTTGTTTTGGGACCAACTGGCCCTAGATCTCAGTATGTGTCAAATATACACCATGCTGAGCAGTCAGTTATCATGCCCCCTCATAGTGTCACCCAGTCTGTGCCCATAGGTCATTTGTCCCAAGGAGATGTCAGAGCCAGTACTCCATCGTTATCTGGAATAGGTTATGGAATCCGTTCAGAAAACCTGTTATCGCCTCGATCTGCACCTCCACAGCGCTCCACAACACCTCAGCCTGCAGTAATCAGAGATGTTGTACTGAAGTCACATGCAAGTTCATCTGGTGATGGTCTTGTTGTTGGGACAAGCAATGATGATATGCAGAGTCTCCCTCAAGGACTTCGTAGAGCTTCTGCACCACAGTTACAACCGGAAAGCATAGTAATGCAGCCTGAATTCAAAGGTCTGCATCACAGGGCATTGCGTCTAGATCAGTATGCCAGAGATGTACGTCTGCTTGTGCACCAGCATTTGACTGACCATTCAGGTGTTGTTGAAAGTCGCCAAACTCGAACACCAGAGACAATGCAGTCATCTTCACACATATCATCTGCTTCTAAAGCCTCGCCTGTGGTAAAGAATGCTCCACAGACTGTGAGGGATGCATCAAAAGCAATGGAGCTCAAGATGCCACTCTCCCCTCACTCAGACAATAGGATAATAGGACACCCACCTGGCTCTGTGATGGTATCTCCTCAAGGAGTTCAATTGATTCATCATGGAAATGCAAACTCCATGTCTGAATACTACAGGGAAATGCGTGGTTTCCATCCTCAGTATCCAGGTCATTCAGTAATTGGAATTAACTTGGCTAATCGTGGAATTGCTGCATCACAGGTGAGAGTTTGTTTTGTGCTCTACAATCCTAATTTGAGTATTACAGTTAACAATTATATTAGCCATGAAAGTTTTTTTTATCTTGTCTTGACTTTAAATGTACGTGCTTTATCAGGTCTCACAAATTGATCATGGTCAGAGACACAAGGTTCCCTCTGTCTCCTCCATTGAGTCTGTGGGAAGTTATGGAGAATCAAAACTTGACGGTTCTCACATTCGACACCCAAGCTCCATGGATTTGTCTCACATATCACGGGTTCAGGGTGAGACTGGCTCCCCCTCTTACACTTCTCCAGTGACTATAACACCCAAATTGGAGTTGCCTATCTCCGTGCAGAAGGGACCTAACCAGATGCCACCGCCATCCTCAGCCAGTTCTCAGATGCGATCAGACTTTAAACTTGACCACACTGGACTTCGGTCTGTTGATATGATGCAGTTGTTGACGGTTTGTAATCTTTTTTTATTATTGTTTCTATTTATTTTTTACTTCCATCAGAAGTTAAGTGGAAATAATTCTTTAGGTTGTAACAGTGTTTTTGTCTTCCTTCAAGCAGAAATACCCAATTATTTGGCAAGGTCACCTGGCACTTAAGAATGACACTGCAGCAGTACAGCTGCACTTTGTGTCTGGTAACAATGTTCTGGCTCACCGGTCACTGCCGCCACCAGAAGGAGGTGCCTTTCTTCGCATTGCCCAGAGAATGCGCTTAGAGGCCTCACAACTTGAGGGAGTTGCAAGACGTATGACTGTAAGCATCCTGTCTACTTTTATAGCCCTTTCTCAAACCACGTTAAATCTAATTTATCCATATCTATCAAAACTAAGCAAAACAAAATCTACTGAAATGTCAGGACAGTATTGGGAATTTAAAGGAAACTTTTTTTCCTAGGCTGAAAATGAATACTGCCTTCTGTTGGCATTGCCTTGTGGACTGGACCAAGAGGATGTCCACAACCAGACCCATGCTCTTAAAACTGGTTTCATCACTTACCTGCAAGCAAAACAAGCTGCTGGAATTATCAATGTCCCAAACCCAGGCTCAAATCAGGTTAGTCCTCTCAAGAATGAAAATTACAGTGACAGTTATAATCATGTGCAGTACAGACTTTTCCTGGAAGAAAATAGCTTGGCAAGATGCTGATGTCTAACCACTCATTAAAGATTAGATGCTTCCATATGTGAAAATAAATATTTTAGCCATCTGCTGACTTAAAATTGTACATTCCACTAACAAATAATTTTCTTCCTTGTAGCCAGCCTATGTTGTCCAGATTTTCCCTCCTTGCGAGTTTTCTGAAAGCCACTTGTCTCATCTTGCTCCAGACCTTCTCAATAGCATCTCCAATATCTCTCCCCATCTTATGATTGTTATAGCTTCTGTATAAGAGGGAGATCCCAGCTTCCCACACCAACATGCCAACACCAGCCTTTGAGACTTAACATTTTTTGTTTGTTTTTGTACTCTGGAAAGCACCTCAATGTTAGTCAAGTTTACTCCTTTTTGGCAATGTATTCACTCTTTTTTTGTTCTTTCACCAGCCTTTTAATCCATTGACTCATTGCCGCGTCCGTTTAACTGTATATCACCTTATAGTACACCGAGATAAATGGAGCTATTTACAACGATCAATTCTCTGATCATTTTTTTTCTCTTTTCTTTTTCTTCTTTTGGAGATTTGTATCTATGGTTTTTAAAACACTGAAGATCTTTGGGATTATTAGGACATGTGGTTAAGAAACGTTTTATTGCTTAAGATTCCTTTTCTGAAGAATAATCAGACCAATCATTGCACTATGTTATGAAAATCAAAAAAAAAGAAGAAAAACAAGTTTGTACAAATTTGGTTATTGAAATTGTCATTTTACTTTATTACTTGGACATGCTTCATTCACCAGCCGTTTTTGTGGTAGAGACTAAAAATGTTGTCTAGTCAAAGTAGTTCAATTGAATTCCTTTGACACATTTTATAAAAACAAAAAATAATAAATAATGTAATCTAAAGCAGCTACTGTTCAATCATTAGTAAACAAGTTACTTCCATGTTATTTGTAGAAATGGCTCTCAATATAGTCCTTGTTATCTCCGAAAGGGATAAAATGTGGGAGCATTGGGAGTTGTACAGTTTACACTTGATGCCTCAATTGGGGATTGTATGAATACTTTTTTCGCTTTCCTCTTAATACTTGCAAAGTGAATCGGGCGAAGGCCTGGTTGTAAATATAATGTATATTTAAAGACTTTCAAAGCAGTTGACAAGCATAACAAGATTGACAGCCTCTTGCCGTCAACCGTGAAATTGAACTGTCAGTTACCACTTGAGTATCATTTCAGATTTTTATTTTGTTGACGTTTTTGAAATCCATCCTGTGCCATAATTTTTAAATGGAGAAAACTAAATGAATTGAGATTCATCAAGTTTTATTTTGATACTTGACTTTGTATTTGTCACTTGATCTTTAAGGTCTGCTTTTACATTGCCTTGTTTTATGCTTTTTGTCCCCTACCTCTATTTCTATTTTTTTTATTTTCATGTCAGTAACTATTAGGGGGAATCTTAACTGATGACACTGTCCTTAGGACCCCCGAAGTGTTAAATTCTGTTTTCCACTGTTTCTTTCTTGGTTTTTTGAACATACCTCTGAATGTCCAACAAGAACAGTGCAATGCAAGTGGTAAATATACTTTGTAAAGAGGAAAAAAACAACAATGAAAATATGTAAAAATCTGTCAGGAGACATGATAGAGACCGGCTTTTTTGGTCTCCTTTCTTGATTGGTGTCTCCTTGAGCCAAGCTGTAAATAATCATTTTCATTTTGTGTTGCTTTTTTTTTTCTCTGTCTTTTGGTCAGGGTCATTATTTTGTTTTGTAAGACAAAACAAAAGTATGTAAAGAAAACCGATGCAGAAAGTAAACCATGAGTCTTAGTTTTGCAGTTTCATTGGGTTACTACAAATTCTCTCATGGTCATTTTGAAGGCACTTACATTTTTGATATACAAATTTAAAATATCAAAATGCCAAAAGGAAGAGTAAACGGATACAGCTGATCTTAAAATTTTGTCTGATTTATCTTATTTCATCATTTTGAGTGTATTTTGCGGTTCCTCTATGAGGACATTTAAAGATGTAAAATAAATTTTGTTTGTTAACACCTTTGCAGATCATTAAATGGTCATTCACTCTCTGCCTGTTGCTGTTTTTTTGTTGTTCTTTGGTTTTGCTCTGATTTCCATTCACTTACAGTTTAACACTTGTTATACTTGCCTATCATATGTAGTTTATATCATATTGCTCACTGGTGTTGGTTAACATATTTGATCATTTTAAGAATGCCTTTGAAATTAGAAACGCATGAAATCAAGTGTAACATTTAGTTGAAGGTCAGTGACCTACAGTGGTAGTGTCCGTAACAGCCACTTGATGGCAGTATTGTGATACTGATAGCGTTCTGTATTTTCATCTAATGGTTTATTATTGGTTTTGGCTTATAGTTCACTACAGTCTTTTGTGTGGTTATACAGTGAGCCTGAAAAAGACAAGCAATATATCTAGTGTTTTTCTTGAGATCAAGCACATATGATGATGCTAACCCTTAATTAATGTTAATTCTTTTCAATCTTAAAGAGAACTGTAATGCTGTAAATAGAGACATAGGAATACCAAAAAACCATACCATACAAAAAAAAAAAATTCTATTAGTCATGTATTTAAAGAGACAGTTGACACAAACGTGAAAATTCTGTCATCATTTACTCACTTCTTTTTTGGTACATACAATAGAAGTCAATGGAAACCTTTTTGAACATTTTTGAGTGAACTGCCCCTTTAAGGACATTACTTTTATCACTTATCACTGCATCTAAACCAACAACATGCCTGTTAGATCCTGTACCCACTAAATTACTGAAAGAGCTGTTACCTGTAGCAGAAGAACCGCTTCTCAATATTATTAACTCGTCGTTGTCTTTAGGTCACGTCCCAAAACCATTCAAGCTGGCGGTTATTAAGCCTCTTATTAAGAAACCACAACTAGATCCTAGGGAACTGGCAAATTACAGACCCATTTCAAATATTCCGTTTATGTCTAAAATTTTAGAAAAAGTGGTGTCCGCTCAATTGCGCTCCTTCCTGCAAAAAAAATGATCTCTATGAAGAATTTCACCCCCACCATAGCACAGAAACTGCACTTGATAAAATTACAAATTACTTGCTTCTTGCCTCAGACCAAGGCTGCATCTCATTGCTAGTTTTACTTGATCTTAGTGCTGCGTTCGACACTATAGATCATGACATACTCATAGATCGATTACAAAACTATACAGGTATTCAAGGGCAGGCTTTAAGATGGTTTAGATCCTACCTGTCCGATCGCTACCACTTTATTCATTTAAATGGGAGTCATCTCAATTATCACCAGTAAAATATGGAGTGCCACAAGGATCTGTCCTAGGTCCTCTGCTATTTTCAATATACATGTTGCCCCATGGTAATATTATTAGAAAATACGGGATTAGCTTCCACTGTTATGCAGATGATACTCAACTATATATCTCAACAAGACCAGATGAAACTTCTAAATTATCTAAGCTAACAGAATGTGTTAAAAATGTAAAAGATTGGATGACCAAACATTTCTGCCATATGTACATTAATTGACAGTCACCACTGATAAGCTACCACTAAATATTGTAGAAACTTAATTTGCTGTAAAGTTGCTTTGCAATGATTTGTATCGTGAAAAGTGCTGTACAAATAAACTTGACTTGACTTGAAACTTGACTTGACTTTTATAGATGCAATTATTTAAATGTTTTGCTACTTTCCAAAAAGTTAGCTAGGTTTAGTATGCTTGTATGCAAGATGAATACAAACGTTTAAGAATAAATGTTTGTGTATTTCTACACTGTGTGTTTGTGTGTGTGAGTGTGAGTGTGAGTGTGAGTGAGTGTGTGAGTGTGAGTGTGATAGAGAGTAGGAATGAGGTATTTTGTGTTTTGACCAGCCCTTGGTTTGATTTGCCTGATCCTGTATAAAATCATATTCACAAACCCGCATGATGTTCCACAGGGAATTCATGGAATTCCCAACGGCAGTGTTTGTGGTCATGCTGGCATGACCCTTGAAGATCAGGAAATTTGCGAACGCCGTGAGCTGGAAGACACATCACAGAGAAAACAGTCTTCATTTATCTAATGATCCAAATGTATTCCATCCCGACCATCAGTGCACGTTATGCAGGAATACTATCTAGCTCCAAAGCTGTGGCTTTTATGTCAGGTTTAATCACTGTACTTAAATGAAAGATCCCATATTCTTTGAGCTCGAGATTTAGCTGCGAGTAAATCTAGTAAACTTTGCACTACCTATAAATCTGAAAGACAAAACGAAGGGCAAGTTGCAGACAGGTTATGCCAAAGCCCTCAAAGACATATCGCTCTCCTCATCTTTCTTTTCATCCCGGTAGGAAGAGGGGTGTGTGTTCATGGAAAAAAAGGAGGTGAAGTATATAAGATTTACAATGCCATGACAGACCAAGACCAGGAATGTTAATTGACACCCACTCCCGGCAAAGCAGTGATGTATTTGCAGGAAGTATGAATCTGGAGGGCTCAAAATAATGAAAAGAAAGTAGAAGAAGCATCTATATTGTTCCTCTCCAGTTATAAACCAGGCCGACGGCAAAGGTAACAGTAGGAAGTTTGGTATGTAGTAAAAACCACAGTTGGAGGACATTGCAACTAGAACAGGCATGCAAATATCTAATTCATTCAAATTACTGGGAGGGTTTTTGACTGCTTTATTGAGGCCATATGTTGGCGGCCGAGTACTTGTGATATGATACTTAGATACTTAGATGGTATTTTTATAAACACATCAGACCGCTTTAGAAAGATCTGTTTTGCATTTCTCTCGAAGCTTTTACTTATGAAAATTAGAGTACAAAAATATGAGAAGTATTCGCTTGGACCACTATAGTTATCCAGTTATACATAAATGCTTTTATTATTTTGTATTTATGGTGCATGTAGGGATATATGTGTGTATGCAGGTGCAGGAATGAATTGCAAAAATGTCTCTTCCAGACACGTGTTTGTACTGTCCTTCATCTTTCCAGCTTTATGTAATTCTATGGGCATGAACCACACTGACTGGGCTCCAAAAGACCAAATTAGAAAGAGAAGGAAAATGTTAAGAATGCTGAAAATACTGGGGTTGGCTTTTCTTTTTCTGATAAGTGTCCACTTTCCATCATTTGGGCACGCTAAACATCCTTGCCATTTAAATGATCTCACAAGCTGCTGAGCTGATACATTCCTTATCAGAAATAGTTTTACATGTGCACTCTTCACTCCTTTTGTTTCTTAGACAAAAACCTAAACCTAGCAATCGTTTATTTATTATATTTCAAATGAGACAACAGGGTGGGAGTTGATGCACAGATTGTAGAGGAATGTAACTTTGCTCAAAACATGGAGACATTCTATGCTTGTGGTGAAAAGTTATTAGTTTTGAAGTACTGCAACAGTTATTTTACATAATTTTCTAATAAAAACACAGTACCAGTCATCATGACATTAACTAGTGTGTCCAGATATCAGACAAAACTCTTTTGTTTGATTTTTTAAACAAAACATTCTTATCAAGTTGTATGCCCCACTATGCTATGATCCACAGTCTATCTATCTATCTATCTATTTATCTATCTATCTATCTAGGGTGAATTCGGGTAATCTGGGACATTGGGTAATCTGGGACACCTAAACTCCAGTGTGTTTATTTCCTGTTCTAACAAAATTTAGTCAACAGGCCTTTTACTATAATGTTAGCATAGATGTCATGTGACTGAAATCACATGACTTCATTGGGGGTGATTCCACAGAAAGGGGTGGGGCACTTGTCAATCAAGAAGCTCCCCTGGGAATTGCATGACAAGGTCAGTGACAGGATTCTGACTAGATTAATGTTAAGGACATAAATCTGTCATAAATAATACAATGTTCCTAATTGTTGTCAAATTATGTTTGTGATCTATTCAAGCAACAAAATATGTATTAAAGTGTTGAAAATGTGTTTTAGTTTTTTTTTTCTTTCAAACATTTTTTTGTTGTCCCACATTATCAAATATGATTGAGAATGTGGGACAGCATGCTTTGGGTAATCTGGGACAGTCTTCAAATGGAGGAAATATGAAAACACTAATAGGTGTGGCATGTCTCCTCTGGGTATAATATCAGCATTCTTTCTTCTGGTGTGGTTAGAAAACATCTTAGGGATTTCAGAAAAGTCTAATGTGTTGATCTAATGTATTAGATAGATATCGAAATAAATCGCAGAAGTCAAAATTGCAAAAAATGTCCCAGATTACCCGAATTCACCCTATCTATCTATCTATCTATCTATCTTGACACTTTTCTCACGCTCTCTCACACTTCCATTTTCTCACGCAGTCAGTCAAAAGCACCCTCAGTCAAAACTGTAATAATACTGGCGAACTGGAATACTGTAATAATATTGGCGAAACAGATTTGGTAAAGGCTCCTGTGTACATTTGTGTTTGCGCTCTGGAAAGTGTCAAAATTTTCTATTTACAACAATGTAGCCAATCACAGACATATCTGTTGATTCATTGAACATTTGTGATTGGCTATTAGAATCAGAATTCACTCACCTTTGCTTTGAACGATGGATTTTTTCCCCCTGCACGCTCGAGAATCCTCTCATTGTAACAAAGTGTGGATTTAATGTAAACAAGAGCTTCACTCATTATAATGGAACAATGTGAGAGTGCGATAATCTATTTAGAATATATAAATAAATACTTTGATATACGTTTCTTATAGGTCATTGTTTTCTTATGGGTAAAATGTTTTTGCATCATGAACTGTGAGTTTCAAGACGTGGATTAAAAAACAACCCATATGGCAGCCCTTGGTAAGGATAATGCCAATTCACTTCTGATTTACTCATCACTTCAAAGAATCTCCTCCAATATAGAAAAGCTTTAAAACATCCAATCTTATAGAAATATTCATCAATAAGTTGTAACTTTTACGATTGTAAAAGGATTGGATGATTGTATGACTGTATGATTATGATTTATTTTATTTGTATTATTATGTTTACTTATTTAGTTATATTTTAAT